AGGAAGAAAAAGAAAGAAAGAAAGAAAGAAAGAAAGAAAGAAAGAAAGAAAGAAAGAAAGAAAGAAAGAAAGAAAGAAAGAAAGAAAAGGGACCCAAGCTCTTAACTGGCCTCCCTCACCACAGGGATCAGAATCTAAAGCTGGAACTGATCCTACTGCATCCAATAGAGCAGAGTCACTCACAAATGACAGCTGTGTTGTGGGAGAGTTGGCAGACATTCTCTCTTGTCCATCTGAGGACTCTGGCCTTAGACACAGAGAGATGTTTGTTTCTCCTTCTGTACAACAGGCAAATGCCAAAATGACAGTTTCCTGTCAATTCTGATGAGGAGCTTCCTTATTCAGGGCCAATTCTGTAAGATTTAGCTTAGAATACTCATGCCTAAAAGGAGGTTAAATTGGACCAAGTCTTAACATAATTCTTTGCCTATATCCATCTGGAGCTAACACAGGCTAACCCATCTATTTGCCACATGAGTACACAAACTTTTAAGGATTTTGAAATAACCAATGGCTATTGGTACTCCTAACAATGATAATAGTGAAGCTACATCTGTGTGTTTGGATCATTTACTCTATCTGGAACTAAGCAGTTTCCAGGTATTGTTTCAGTAAGTTCTGTTCCTAATGTGAATCTGTGTTCTCCAGCCTCCTGGGATCAGTCTTCACTCCCCGCCACACAGCTAAAAATCCTAATGATGTGTGTGAGCAAATTTTTAGTGTTTCTGAAAAGTCTCCATGTGCATTTCCCTCCCTCCTCCAGTGTCTCCTCAGCACCTCAGATGTCTAACCTTTTCCTTGAATAGCTTTCCTCTCTTCCCCAAATCCCACTGTGGAAAAGTCTCTTGCTCTGCCATATCCTACAGCAGCAGACCACTGTATGTGGCAGGATCCTGTGAACCTCTGGAGAGAATGCACGAGGCCCTCTGTTGGTCAAAGTATGGAAGAGACGAAACTAGCTGAGGACAGGAGCGTTGTCCCTCACTGGGGACCCTGGGAGTCTCTCCATTTCTTCATGTACAAAATACCCCTAAAGAGAATGTCCTTTTCTTGTGTCCTGTCGGAATAAGACTTTGCACACATATGACAGGCACATAAGCTTTCCTGTGAGGATTATTTTGAATTGGAAACAACTGTGTCTGCCTAAAAGTGATCTTGGACTCTTAGCCACCAGGGCTAACTCTAGACGCATCCATCCCTGAAAAAGCACTGAGCAGAATCTGCTCAACAGATTTACTAAACGGATTCGCATGCTCCCTAAGTTTTGCCCCCATCTTGCTGCCCCTAAAAGACAGAGCAGTGATTCCTTTTTCTGTTCTTCTACTGTGCCCTTTGCTGAGAGGCGGCTTAAGTCTGTTTTCTACTGGCTTCCTCTCAGGGGATGACTCCTGCACTCTTAAAACGTTTTCCTGCTGGGCAATGGTGGCGCACACCTTTAATCCCAGCACTCACTCGGGAGGCAGAGGCAAGAGCTACACAGAGAAACCCTGTCTGGAAAAAGAAAAAAAAAAGTTTTCCTGCTGTTTTGTCCGTTGTCACTCTAATGCCCATGACCATGACCAAGGGAATCCAGGAAGACAGAAGAAAATGTCTTCCTCCCCCACATCCCTCATGGTTCCCAGCCCCTGGTGGTAGTTAACAAGTAAACTTTTGTGCAGGACAGACTTGTTTGGTGTCCTCTCTCCTTTACCTCCACAGTATATAGCGTTCCAAGAAAAGACAAAAGGGACCAGCCATGTGAAAGTGAAAACTCATCTACTATCCAGGGATAACAAGCTGCATTGTTCCTTCGTGTGACCAATTATGGAGCCAGTATTTTCCCATATTACATTTAAGGAAATGAATTTGATGCTCTTAACTAAATTCACTGAAGAGGACAACCTCCTCCAAGGCAGCTTCTCACAGGACAGACACTCTCTTTTTTTTACGAACACAGAGATCTCCTTAGTTTATGTCACTGAAACTCTGTGGTGCGCTTCTGTGTGTGTGCACCCACTAGCTCTGCTTCTATCAGAAAACCAAACGGGCCTTTCATTTTTAGAAATGCAAAGCTATTTAACATTTTCTTGCTTTTTACCAGTTTTCCCTATGCACACAAGCATCTTGCCTTCAAACACAAAATAGTCATTAAAGTCTTTTCTCAGGTAAAATTTGCTGCAAAAACCTCACAAGTCGCCGTGCCATTCTCTAGAAGATAAGAATGAGGGCTTCACTTCCTGCAGTAAACATCATCTCATTTCTGCAACCTAAGACAGTGACTTTGGATATCAGTAAAATGGCAAGTTTACTATAGATAAAAATATGAATTATCAAAAATAATTATTTGAAGACAGGCTTTGAATGGGCTAGTATCAAAGTGAGGTGTGTGGGTTTAGCAGTGCAATTACAAGGTCAGATATTATCCTTATATAAAAGTCAAATACTTCCTTACTTTTATTTGTGTGTTTACAGGTGTGATGTGTATGCTTGTGTTTGTATGGATATGTGCATGTGTTCATGTGTGTGAAGGCCAAAGGTCAAGTGTTTTCCTCAGTCACTCTCTACCTTATTTTAAAAGTTATTATTATTATTTATTTTATGTGTATGGTGTTTTCCCTGTATGTATGTCTGTAAATAATTTGTAGGTATGGTGCCCACAAAGGCCAAAAAAAGGTGTTGGGTCCCCTGGAACTGGAGTTATGGAGGGTAACCATGTAGGTGCTGGGAATCCAGCCAGGTCCTCTAGAGCAGCAGGTGCTCTTATCTGAGGAGCCATCTCTTCAGTGACTCCATTGTTTATTTTCTTTTTTCTTGAGACAGATCTTTCATTGAGCCTGGGGCTCATCCATTTGGTTTGGCAGGCTGGCCAGTAAGTTCTGGGGATCCACCTGTCTCCATCCCACCCCTCAGCACCAGAATTACGGATATGCTGCTGTCCCTGGTTTATTACATGGATGCTGGAGATCAAATTCAGGTCTGCAAGCTTGCACAGCAGGCATTTAATTGAGTGTGTCTTGTCTTCAGACCCCTACTTTTATTTTAAGGATACCCTGCATTATGATATTTATTTTCAGTAAATAATCTCTTGTTACACTTCAATCATTTGGCCAATGCTTCTTGTATCAGTTGCATCTGTCCAGATGAAATAGTTTTACTCCAAGGTCTCATTTCTTCTTTCAGTCTGGAAGTATAGAGACTCCAGGGTATCATTCTGGAGCTGAATTATATGCACAGACAAGGACCAAATGCACATTAACTAAAGAGTGAAAGTAAAGGAATAGGGAGCTTTGCCCAAGCAGGACACAGAGCCCACTGTACTGTGAGAACCCCAGTGGGAAGTGATAGGAATTCCAACCATGCCCGATGGTCATACATGCCCGGCGGGACACTTAGTCATCTCTGCCTAGTCATTTCCGGGTCATACATCCTGCGTGACCCATGCCCCATGGTTACATGGACGGACATGACCGTGTGATCTCTGCACGTGGACCTGTGTGTGCAGGTGTGTCCTGGCCTTTATAAGGCGGCACCATGTTCCCCAGGTCTCCTTCTTACATGTGTCCTTCCACAGGCCTGATCACATCTATCCCTTTGTCTTGATAAAACTCTTGTTAGTGGATTCTGTCTGTTGTGTGTCATGACTTTTCCTTTGGGGCAAAAGCTGCAATAAAAAACGATTAGGAAGGTCTGGCCTAGGACAGAATCTGACCTCTTTCCTTACTAACTCTAATCTCATTCTCATCTTCACCCTGCTCTTCCTTTTCTGTTGCTTTCAGTAGGGTCTTGCTTTCCTCCGAAGTTCCTTGTATCTTATGTCTACATGTAAGAAAGCCCCTTCCTGCCCATTTGATTTAAAATAACCTATGATGCAATCTTTCCCTTTAGTAGTCAGTACACAAACGAATTAAGACCAAACCCACATCCAAGAGATCTCGCCTCCAGAGAGTGTATTAAAGTCTTAACTACAACCACGCAAGGCACAATTAACTCAGAGGCACAAGCCAGAGGGAAGCTGGGGCTGCCTTCTTTGGCTTCTGCTGGGTTGGGATGGATGAAGCAAGAGGTTGGAGGACACACAGGGATGCAGAAGGCAGGGCAGGAAGAATGCTGGTTACAGGAAATCACCCAGCTTGTCAGGGACAGGGACAGATGTCCATCAACCCAGGAAGCATAAGAGAGCCCTGCTTTCTCACTGATTGATTTCCTCAAGTGTAGATGTAAGTCTTATTAAATAAGAAACACAGAGCCAAATGCAGAGTTAAAAGCCCAAGAGGTCAGAGTAGTAGCTAAGAGCTAATACTAAAAACCTTTTCTTAACATTTGCTGCCGCTGTCATCCTTCCCTTCAGAAAGTGACCTACTTCCTGTGTATCTGTCTTCTGTTGACTTTTTGTTCTGCATTCTCATTGGTTGTAAACCCAACCACATGACCTCGTTACTACCTGTCTATACAGACCTCCAGGTCTTCTATGGTTGGTATTGAGATTAAAGGCGTGTGTCTCCATGCTGGCTGCATCCTTGAACACACAGAGATCTGCCTGTCATGTGATCGGGATTAAAGATGTGTGCCACCACCACCTGGCTTCTGCTATGGCTTTCTCTGACCCCCAAGCAACTTTATTTATTAACATACAAATAAAACACATTTTAGTACAAATAAAATATCACCATATTTCCCCTTTTCTTTGTAGCTAGAGTTTTCCTGGCTGGCCCATGGTCAGGACAAGTCTCTCTCACCTGCCAGTCCCACAGCTGCTCAGACCCAACCAAATAAACACACAGAGACTTATATTACTTATAAACTGTATGGCTGTGGCAGGCTTCTAGCTAGCTGTTCTTATATCTTAAATTAACCCATTTCTATTAATCATAAGTTGCCATGTGGCTCGTGGCTTACTGGTATCTTAACATCTTCTCATGGCAGCGGCTGGCAGTGTCTCTCTGCCTCAGCCTTCCACTTCCCCGAATTATCTTCTCTCCTTGTCCCGCCTATACTTCCTGCCTGGCTACTGGCCAATCAGTGTTTTATTTATTAACCAATCAGAGCAACACATTTAACATACGGAACATCCCACAGCACTCAAAGGTTTTATAATTCAACCTTTGAGAAAACAAACAGCAACCTCACACAGCCATGAGGAAGCAAGATTTTATATTTAAGAAAAGGACTTTAATTTGGTTTAAGTTTTGCACATCTTCATAGAGGAGCAGATTCTGGTATTTCATTTGTCTCACTGGTTCTTGGTCTTCTTATTCATTTTTTCTTGCAGCACCTGACTTTAGGAAGGCCACAAGTGCCGATCTGTCGAAAACCTTTAGAGCATGCACCCCAGCATATGCCCCCATTGGTCAGGCAACTTACAGGATTCTTGATTCTTTGAGTAAAAGCTGAAAGATGAGTAAGAAAAACCACACATTAGAGTTGAAGGCGTCACGTCAGAAATACACACCCATGTGCTTTTCTCTTGAGTAACTTGCAGCAGGCTTTTCCCCCAAGGCTGGGATATCTGTTTCTTCAGGACAGAATCCAGTTCTTGATAGAGACTGGCACCGCTGCAGTGAGGTGGTGCTAGCTCTCCTAGGACCCAGATGTTGAAGGGTCTGCTGCATAACTGAATGACTAAGCTCCAGGGCCACCAGGAAGGAGCTCAGCAAAGAATCTGTGTGAGTCCCCGGCTATTTCACAGCAGCCCTGCCTCTGCTTCCACACACAAGCCCATTGGTTCTAGTATCAGAATCAGCCAGTGGGGTATGAGTGTATGTGTGCATGGACTGTGTGCACACACATGCAGAAGCCAGAGGTCAGTATCAGGTGTGTTCAGCAGTTACTCCCTACCTCGTTTTCTGAGACAGCGTCTCTCACTGAACCCAGAACTCACTGAGTAGGTTTGTCTGGCTGCCCAGTGTGCCCCTGAGGAGCCTCCCCCATGCTAGGGTTATAGATGTGCACCAGCTGGCTCTGCTTCTACTTGGAAACTGGGGATTCAAACTCTGATTTTCGTGCTTACACAACAAGCGCTGTACTCACTGAGCAATCTTCCGATTTTTAACTAAGGTTTTTTAACTCCCATTGCCCATTTTTAACAAGCTCTCTGACTGGAAGCTCAATGAATAGGACTTGTCTAATGATAACGTGATACCTACATAACTTAGAATTGAAAACAAAAATCAACAGTAAAAATAAACTTTTTCAATAGTTTCTAATGTCTAAAATTAGGTCTTAATCTCATCCTTTCTTCCTTTCTCCCTTCCTTCCTCCCTTTCTTTTTCACATGCACCTGAAATTCTGAAATAGTAAGTGCTTGGGTATCCCTTGGTACCCATATGCTCCCCTGTAACCAGAGCCCATCAATGAAATTAGGTTTTCTCTCTGTAATTTATGTCTAATGCAGTTTCAGATCTTGTCTCAGCCATCTCATTTTCTCTCTTACTTGTTTTAACGCCTTCTCTTGAGTTGTCTATCCCTTTTATTCTGTTTGCCTAATGTCAAGGATGAAATACAATATTGGAGCTGGAAATATGGCACAGGAGTTAAGAGTGCATACTGCTCTTGCAAAAGACCTGAGATCAGTTCCTAATGCCCTTATCAAGCAGCCCACAACTACCTATAACCCCATCTCTGAGAGATCCAATGCCCCTTTATGAATTCCGTGGCTAATGTACTCCTCGGCACATACCCACACACAGTACACATAATTTAAAAGAAAATTAACCTTTCTACAGAATACAATTAAGACAGAGTTTGGGAAGCTGTTTTCCACAGTTTCTCCTGAGCTGTGAGTCTCATTACCCCTGTAGAGAGTGTGTGCTTAAGGATATTTCATGGGATTTTGGAGGACCCAAAGTTCTCAAAGAGAGGCTGGGCTGGTTATTCTGTGAGATTCTCTAGAGTAAGCATAGACTCTACTCCTTCATTGTAAAGATTTTTCAATAAATACTTTTTTTCTTCAGATAAGAATCAGACTTTCTTCATGTTATTATTTTTTAAGTTACTGATGAGAGACTCATCCTGTAATCTTAAATTCAGCATGAGGAGCTGGAAACAGAAGTCATGTGCTGCTGATAAACATAAAGTCTGCATTTGGCCCCTTCCAGGTCAAAAGAAAGTGTCCTTGGTTCATGTTAGCAGTGCTTAGAAGAAAGAAAGAAAAAGAGGAAGGTAATAAAGGAAGAATGGGGAGAGAGAGGGAGAGAGGAGAGAGTTGAAAAGAATGGGAAAAAAGAGGGAGGGTATGAGAAAGGGAAGTTGGGAAAGAAGTAGAGGGTTAAAGAGCAGAGACAGACGAGGCAAAAAATAAGAGAAGACAGGATAGGGGAGGAGAGGGGAAAGAGATGGGGGAAGGAAAGGGAGGGAAGGACAGAGAGAGAGAGAGAGAGACAGACAGACAAACAGACAGACAGACAGACAGACAGAGACAGACAGACAGAGACAGACAGACAGACAGAAACAGACACACACACACACACAGACAGACAGAAACACACAGACACAGAGAGATAGACATACACACAGACAGACAGACAGACTGTCTCTCATTTCCCTTTGGAACCACCCCACTCCCCTGCCTCACCTGCATGAGGTGACAGCAGCACCAGGAGAAACATGAAGAGGAGGTAATGGATCCTCATGACTGACACCTGGTGAGTTGCAGAGATACAGAGGGAGTCAGGCTCAGTGCCTTATATAGGTCCAAGTGCTGGCCCCTGGTTAGACTCCTATGCTGATGAGAACCCCAGTAATTACAGTTATGAAACAAAGAACACCTTACCTCTCTTGTTGAGGAGTGGCCCTTTGAGAGCACACTTATTGTCACTTATGCAAATGTGGGGAGCCTCAGACAATTTCTTCCTACCCTGAAAACCAAGAACAGCTTCCTGCTTTGTTTCTTTAGGTATCAGGGACCTAGGTTGCCATGGGTCACAGACTTACTGGTTACAACTTGACCTTACTTGCCTGTTCCTCACAGCTTTTACTTGGTCACCTTAGAGTGTGGCATCAGGCTTAGACCTCTGTGGGAATTAATTTCTCATAGATTCATCAGGGCCTAGGCACACTCAGCTGCTGGATGCAAGGTCCCCAAGCTTTTCTGGGTCAGAATATGGGCCTAGTCTCAAAGATTTCTCCAAGATACTACAGAATAGTGAAAGTCATCTACTATTAAAAAACTGCCAGCAATTCACCATCCACCCAATGTGATGGGCATGGAGTCCAAAAGGTGTGCTATTTCCTCTCACCGAGAAAGCAATGAGTTGGTAACATTTTACTGGAACATGTCTCCCTTTGCCCACCTAGAACAAAGCCAGTGAGTGGCTGGTTCTGGCTACCAAGTGATGCACAACCCCATGGGATTGGATAGCTGTTGAGTCTGTGGTTGTCAGCTTTCTGGGACGATGTGAATATCAGTGGTAAGGAGTTGAGTTGAGTTTTGGATTCTATTATGAGAATCCATGACAGTGGGACTCCTGTCCTTCCTACCATCTCCCTGTTGATCTTGGTGGGACCTGTTCTGAGGGAGGCCATGTGGCTTGGAGCTGAGTGAGATGTCATATATCTTCCATAACCCAGTTGTTTATTTTTAACCTAGAAAACCATTGACAGTGATCAGGACATAACCCATGCAAAGGACTGAGAGTTGAAGATTTTCTAAGGGAAAAGAGGCTACATCAATCATGATGTCTTCCTCTCTACAGGGAGTTTAAACAAATAAACACATAGGCAGAAACTTATAATTTAAGGTCTGTTTTAACAAAGGCTTTTATGGAGTTCCAAGCAAAGAGATTTGAGGCTGGAGAATGAAGAGTTTAGACAAACACTACACTGCTTCACTCCCACCATGATTTGAAAACCCATGGTGTTGAGCTGGGTAGGGAGGGTTTTAAATTGGCACACAGTAGAGATTGTTAAAAATCATACACAGTAAGTATGCATTGTTGTGGAATATGTGTACTTTTTCAATATATACATACAGTGTGCAATGATCAAATCAGGATAATTAGCATATCCATCACTTCACATTGCGTAGTCTTACTATACTGAGTAGCCTCAATCCCCTTTTGGAGCTATTTTGAAACATACAATAGCTCATTAGCTCCAGTGACATGACTAGACAATAGAGACAGTGGAAAAGAGGACTTAATTTTCCTATCTTTTCTACTGCCCTCATCCCTGCCTTTCTCTGTCATTATTAGCCTACTCTGTCATTAGAGGTGCTCTTAAAGGAAGCTGATGATTGATCTGTAATGATGATTTGGTCCAAAGAGGAAGTTTCTGATGGATCAAGGAACGGCAGGGCTGGGTTAGGATAGTGTTGCAACTTATAAACAAATTCCTGTCTGGGGCTGGAGGATAGCCATATGACATCACACCCCTTGTCAGGACTTTGTTTCCCTGTGTGATGCTTGTATTAAAGGCAGGCTTGTATTGAAAAGCTGGCTCATTCATCCCCAACACTGAGAATATTTCTTCCAGGCCAAGGAATCACATACAAAAACTGAATGGGGCAAGATAATTGTCTGTAAGTGTGCCGCCTGAACTAATACTCCATCACTCTCTATTTGCCTCAGTTCTCTCACTTTTGACAGTAAAAATTAAACTCATCAGTTTTCTGTCAATGTGGCAGAACACTTTTGACAAATCATCTTCGATGGAAGAAATGCTACTTTGGCTCAAGGCTCAGAGATTCAGTCCATAGTCAGTTGGCGCCACAGTCTCCTGGTCTTTTATGAGCCAGGACGTCAAGGCAAGGAGCATGTGGTGAGGTAAAGTCACTCACCTCCTGGCAACCAGAAAGCAGAAAGGAGGGGTTTGGAATGCCGACGTCCATTGCTGTGGTGTGTGTCCAAAGACTTAGCTTGCTTCCACTAGGCCCACTTGCTAAAGGAACCACCAACTCCCAGAGGAGCCTAGGCTAACCAAAACGTTAACAGATGGCTTTAGGCAAGCATTTAGGATCTCAGTCAAGCCTGGTATGGCTGTGAATAGCCATAATCCCACCCATGTAATCCCATCCACTCAGGAGACTGAGGCAGGAGGGCCTGAAGTTCAAAGCCCATTAGAGCTACATAATGACTTGGAGGCTAGCATGAACAACTTATGGAAACCATGTCTCAAACTGGAGTGGACCAAGAGTAGCTGTGGAAGAGGAGCTCGGGTTTAAAGAGCACTTGACTAGCACGTACTAGGCTCATGGGTCATTCCTTAGTATCGTGGGGGGGAAATTATTAAAAGTCCTGAGTCACAAAACTTCATTAAACTTAACTTTTTCTTAATTATCTCATCATATTTTTTTTTTGAAAAAAAAAATCCCACATACACTACGGTCCTATTTATATACATAGAAGTACTCCTTAATATAATTTAGAATCTGGTCAATATTCATAGACCTCCCATTTTTACAAGTAGTATCTCAATAACTATTGATTTTTTTTCTGGATCATTTTAAATCTAAAACATGCACTTTGAATAAAGTTAGTGTAACTATTTATTTGTAGACTTCTGTTTTGTTTTGCTTTTGAGCAAGCAATCTTAAGGAATTCTTACACTATAGGGGAGAGGCTTTATTGGGCTTAGAGGTTGAATGAAGTTAGTGGTTATGCTTAGCCTTGACTCTAACTCATCCTTTCTTGATGAATCATCTGCTTCCAATTACTATTAAAGCAATGTGCTGTCATTTGAAGATCCACCCATACAAGTGTGAATTTCCCATAAAGTCCTGTTGCAATCCCAGGGAGCAGCCAGCAGCGCTTTCCTGGATGAAGTCTGTCCTGTTTTGAACTCAGCGAATGAGTGAGGCCTTGATAAAAAAAAAAGAAGCAAAGATGATTTGAAACATACGAGAGAGAGAGAGAGAGAGAGAGAGAGAGAGAGAGAGAGAGAGAGAGAGAGAGAGATTTTTTTCCCACCTCCTTTGAGGACAAACACCTCAAAGATGTTGAGGACAGTGGCCTGAATGTCCCATCAAGAACTCTTGTGCCTGCAGCTTATGCTTCTTGACATGGGCTAAGGTGACTTCTTGTGGCTGTGTCCATCCTACTAAGTCTGCTTGAAAGAGGCCCCCAGAAGGGAATTTCCCCCTCAAAGGATGACCATTCTGCCTCAGCCTAGAAGACCATACACCATCATAAACAAGGGCCCCTCACCACAATCTGGAGATGAGGTTGATAGCTTTTAGAGTGAGTTCAGGTGTAAATCTAAACAAGTTTTAGTTATGAGCTTCATGCTATGGATACAGTAGTAACTGACAAAGCTGGGAGCTTGGGGAGAGTAGACTCATGGCCCTTCTCTTTTTAAGGAAAGATAAAGACTGTACTCCCACGTCTCTCACCTATACCTGGAGAAAGCAAATAGATTCTATGTCTCCATAGGGAGATGGCATAGGAAAAGCCTGACGTGTTGCCAATGGAATCTGTGCTGGAGGTACCTGAGAATGAGGACATCGATCCCTCTGGGCCTGCCCTGCCAGATACTTTACCAAGCCTACCTTCTGTGAGCTAGGGAGAAAACAAGCCTTGTGTCCCGAGGGCAGGCTTTATGGCGTATGCATGTCCTGTTCCCACCCACGTAACTGTTAACTGGTTTTTGGAATCCTCCACTCTGTTTGTTCTTTATGATTTTCTTTCTCTCTCCTGTGGTGGTTTCCATGACATTAGAAATGATATTGAGATTGTGACAGTGGCAGGAGTGGAAGCTGTTCTGCAGGTCATGGGAAAAACCCAGAAGGCTGGTGGCAAAAAAATCTGTAGATGGAGTGACATATAGATGGGATAAAAGACAAGAGTGGCCCAGAACTAGTTAGAAGACAACTTGATAAATTACAGAGAGATGAAGAAGGACTTAAACTGAGAGGAAGCTGGCAGTCTGGCACCTTAAACTGTTGCTTGTACTTCTGTGCTTTCTGAGAAACCGCCAGTAGATGACCTCTGAGGTGATAACCTCAGATGTTCTGATAATTATTAACCTGCAAAAGAATAAGCTGGTATGCTTTGGATTTCTGCCTGGGAATTTCTACGTGCAATAAAGGGGCACGGGGTACACTTTGCTGATTTCCAAAAAGAACTTTTGAAACTATTGTGAAAAACCCAATCACCTGTTGAATTTTCTCATCCCCTATTTCCTTGTTTTATTACAATAAAAGACTGGGGTTGAGTCGATTGGGAGGAGGCAGAGAAGATGCAGAAGAGTCTTTGCTTGTGCCTGCCAGACATCCCTGCCCTTCGAGACCCTTGAAACTACTGAGGCTGGTCCCCAGCAGATGGGCTTTCAAAAAGCAAAGCTTTTATCATGGGTGTTATTTTTGGAAAATACAACTTCGCAGCATGGTGGTTTCAGTCTTTCTTTCTTTTTCTTCTT